GGTGAGTGGCAGGTGAGTGAGCAAAGCTTCATCTGTATTTACAGCCACTCCCCTTCGCTCGCATTACTGCCTGAGCTCAGCCTCCTGTCAGATCAGTGGCGGCATCACATTCTCACAGGAGCACGAACCCTACTGTGAACTGAGCATGTGAGGAATCTAGGTTGTGTGCTTCTCATGGGAATCTAATGCCTGATGATCTGAGGTAGAGATGAGGCGGTGATGCTAGCGCTGGGGAGCAGCTGCAAATACAGATCATCATTAGCAAAGAGGTTTGACTGCACAGAGACCATAATAAATCAACTGCTTGCAGACTCATATCAAAACCCTATCAGTGAGTGGCAAGTGAAAACAAGCTCAGGGCTCCCATTGATTCTGCATTATGGTGAGTTGTATAATTATTTCATTACATATTACAATGTAATAATAATAGAAATAAAGTGCACAATAAATGTCATGTGCTTGAATCATCCAGAAACCATCCCCCTCACCCCCAGGTCCATGGAAAAACTGTTTTCCACGAAACCGGTCCCTGGTGCCAAAAAGGTTGGGGACCGCTGTCCTATACAACCGCATGGCCCTATAGCTGTCAGATGCTAAGCACGTGCTGAGGATTCAAAAACTAGTGAAATATGGATTCTGCCTTTCAGAAGCTTACAACCTACTGAGACAAATTTGTAAACAGATAGTTACAAAATAATGTTACCTGTGAAGTCAGGGTCTCATAAAGGCGTTCCCTGGGACAGCACTCAAGTTAAAAAATGGTCTGTCATTATATCAGCTTGGGAAATGTACTACATCTTCCCAATGTACTCTGGCATATTAAAGCCTCTGAGGAGTACTGTAAATAGCCTGTAAAGCCATTTAACTTTCTTTGACCTACTGTTTCTTAAAACTATTTAATAATAAGACCCTTTTTCCCCCCTAAGCAGTACCTCCTATTATCCCACAGACTAGTTTAAAAAACACACTTGAGGAAATGTTGTACTAAGTGATTTAATAAAGTTATAACCTTAGTCCTATGGCAAGTGTTACTTGTGGAAATAATTCAACCATATTTAAATTATTCACATATTAGTCCCTTTTTAAAAAATCATCTGTTGTGGTTTGAATTGTGTTCTCCCGAAAGACATGCTGACGTCCTAACCCCTGGTACCTGTGTATGTGATCTAACTGGGAAATAGGGTCTGTGGAGATGTAATTAAGATACAAGTTAAGATGAGGTCATACTGGATTAGAGTGGGCTCTAAATCCAACCACTGGTGTCCTTATAAGAAGAACAAAGGATACCAGACGCATAGAATAGAAAGCCGTGTAAAGACAAAGGTAGAAATTGGAGAGATACAGCTGCAAACCAAGGAACCCCAAGGATTGCTGTCAACCACCAGAAGCCAGGAGACAGCCCTAGAACAGATCCTCCCTCTGAGCTCCCAAGAAAGACCCAAGCCGTCTGACACCTTGATTTGTACTTATGGCCTCCAGAACTGTGAGAAACTAAATTTCTATTGTTATAAGCCACCTCGTTTGTGGTACTTTGTTTCCTCAGCGCTAGGAAACTAACATACAATCATACTTCCTATTTGGCTTCTATCAATTCTATTTGTTTGATAAATTTGTCTTTGTATTTTCTCCGCAGTCTAGCAGCTGGATTGGGAAAAAGGAAGGGCTTGAAGTCCAAAAGAGTTTGAGCCCTGACTCAACCTATTTTGAACTCTGAATTTAGGCAAGTCACTCAGATGTTCCGATTCTCGGTTTTCTCAACTATGAAATAGGGATAGAAACTTTCATTCATTCATCAAGTCATCCATTCCTTTGGCAAGTACTGATTCAACAGACACTGTCTGCTAAGCACTGTGTAAAGCACACAGATAGATATTAAATAGGCAATTACTAAATTCTGCAAAGGTAAATCAGGTGCTAAGGGAGGGCATAATTTGACCACATAAGCTAACCTTGAGGTGGTTATGAGGATTCAATGAGAAGTATGTGAATGTGCTTTATAGTCTGTACTTTAAATATAAACAAAGGTATTATTATAAGTATATAATAATATAAGTAGGATCAGATGGATTAAAGAGAATGGGTATCTCTGTTCCCTCTGGTCAAACTGGTAAATATTAAGTAAAAAAAAAAATGTGTTGGTGGGATTTCAGAGGACTGGCAGGAGGAACTGTTGGAGATCATAAGAGGGAATCAAAGTATATGAGAGATTTGTGAATTTATTCATCACTCATTCAGCAAAACAGACCTGGTCATGCTCCTCATGGAGTTTAGCCAAAGCCCACCAATCATGTATTGCAATTAAGTGAGCTGGTTGATAATTGATCCTTTTTTCTTCCAAAAGGAGATAAAATGGATGTTCATGTTGACTCATTAAGTGGTATACATATAGGAAATAATATCAGTATATCAATAACAGGAAGGTAAAGTAGCTATTGGTGTTACATTGGGAAAATGTGTAAAGAACAGAACAGAATAAATTGTCTTATATCAAACATCTCTGAAGTCAGGCAGCTAAATATTTGAAAGTTCAAGCCACTGGTACCTGCATGATGATGGTGCAAAAATCTCCTCAGTAAACATGGCAGGGGTCGTCGTCTGATTTCTTTTGGAATCAGCCAGCCACTGGAAAGACTCCCCCCTTGGCATCCAGAACACGTGACTCTCCCACTCTCATAAAGTAAGTAGCCAAGAGTTTTCCATGCAAGCACAAGTACTGTCCTATTAAAACTTTATGAAGTGACATACAGTCGTCTTTCAGAAACCAGTCATGCAGCTACTCTATATGAAAATTCCAAACACAAAGGTTCATCCTCTAAATAAAGATGATACTGGAGTACAGAAAGAGTCACAGAGCCGGGGCTCTTCATACATACACTGACCACCTCAATCCACTGGCCCAACTCTCGGACTTCCCAGCTCACGGGTCAATAATTTATCTTTCACTTTTTCCCCCCAAAGTTACAAAAAGAACACACGAACAAATACTAAAACAATGATAATATGTGTTGGTGTAAATAAATACACAAAAGTTTATATTCCTACCTATTTCAAAAAAGGCTTTGGAGCTGTTTTTCTTTAATAGTTTTGATAATAAAATACTTAATTCTGCTATCACAGGACTTATATTAAGTCCTATAATATATTATAGGTTTTATTAAGAATATTAAGTTTTTAATATCACATATAAAAGTTTTAATATTATAACTAACATTTTTTCATGTTAATTCATGGTATAAATTTCATTTTAAAAAACTCGTATTGGATCTCTTTTGTCTATTCAAGATTCAAAGAAGAGTAACCATAGCTCCAAGCCTTGCCAGCAATAATTCAAAATAAACTACCTAATCAGCAAGAAGAGATTTGTTTCATGGACTCTGAGGGAATTCTAGTTAACAAGGCTCATACGCCTAATGGGCATCAAAAAATTGTGAGGAAAATATAGCAGCATGAATAGCATTTTAGTTATAATTATATCTACCTTAAAATATCTCAATTATATTTATTAATTACCCTAAGATCATCCATACTTCTGAAGCTTTTCTGCTATCATATATTCTGGCCTCTAGATCCTTTTCTTTAACACTTCCATGGCACTTCTCATAGGGTTGACTGGTCCAGCTGAAATTGAAGTGGGCAAATGTGGTTTGAATATGGGAAAGATATGATTGCACAACAAGAGACAATTTGAGAGCCTGAACATTCTACTCAGAGATGGCAAGTGTGTGTAAGAGAATATGGACATTTAGAGAAATCGCAAGGAATCACAACAGGATCTAGAAGGATCTAGAGACATATGTATATACATATACACACACATATATACATTCAGCTAAGAGGCAAAATATGATATCTAATTACTGTTTCAAACCTCTAACTTCAGTTATAAAATGTTAGTGTTAAAAAGGTATAAGAGGTGATCTATATACCTCATTTTTCTCAGTTTACAGTCGTCTCAGTCATTTCAGGCTGCTATAACAAACTACCATAAACTGGTCGCTTAAACAACAAACATTTCTCATAGTCCTGGAGACTGGGAAGTCCAAGATCAAGGCACCTACAGATCCAGTTCTGGTGAGAGCCCACATCGCGTTTGCAAAAGGCTGCCTTCTCACTGTCCTTGCAGGGCAGAGAGAGAAGGCTCTGTTGTCTCTTCCTCTTCTTACAAGGGCACCAACACTATCAGATTAGGACCTCACCCTGATGACCTTAATGAGCCTCCTCACAGTCCCTATCTCCAAATACAGTCACGAGGGGGGTTATGGGCACAACTTATGAATTTGAGGGGATACACACATTCAGTCCATAGCAACAGGTGTGTAACCAAGAGCAGGAAAGGTGAAATTGCTTGTTCAAGGTCACAGAGTACGCAGTTGGTTGGAGGTGGGCAAGCGAAAACCTGAATAGCCCATGGTTAGGACAGGAGCCTAGACGTCACTGAGCTTGGAGAAGAGGGACTGACCTGGAAAGATTATGCTCCTGGAGAAAATCCTCCCCTTCTCTTTCCTTTTCTCCCTTCCATGGTCTACATGCTCCTCTAAAACTACATCACCAGCCACTTAGTTTCACTCCACATTGTACTTACTGACAGTGCAAGGGTTCATATTTGTTTTTGTTTTTTTTTACTGGAAACTATCACATCAACTAACAGTAAATCTCAGCAATTTTTTACTCATCTGTGTATGTCCAACAATTATGAAGACACGCTCTTTTATTTATTTGATTGCGTGATGAGAATCTAAAGGTTTTTCATTTGCTTTTTTTTCCTCCTGTGCATTAAAATTGTGCACTCTTCAAAGGGGAAACATAACTGAGAATGTATATGAACAAACTAAAGTTTGATTTAAACACTACCATTAGTTTTCTTCTATCGACTACTCATAGCTGTTTTTTTTTTTAAAGTAAGTAATTTTTGAACTCAGTATCATCAATATAATAAAATAAAGGCACAGGGCTGGCGTGTTTTGTGGCCCTTCAGCCTGAAAGGTGTCTTGTCTTCTTACTTTTTCTCCTGAGGCTCAGTCTTTGAAGAGAACAAAGTAGTTCTGGAGTTTCTCTTCCTTCCCCAGAGTCATTATCTGAAGGGCAAAGAAAATAAAGCAGAATGTTGCTTCACCAAGGCACTCCTCAATCTCATGCTTGTTTCATCTTGTGATAGTGGTGGCGTTGCTCCACTCCAGGCTACGGGGAAAATAGGCTCTTACATTAAGTGCTTAAGCAAAGAGTAATTTATTAATACTAACACAGATGAGTACATAGGCGCTAAAAGAAATAAACAAAAGGAAGAAGCCCTTTAGGCATGCTTGCAACAGTAAAGCACTATTCCCTCAAGGGCCACCCTAAGAAACAGTATTTTCTATCAGGCCCTTGTCTCTAAAATTTCACACCTTCTACTGCTTTTTCTCAGTGCCCCAGTTTATTCCTAGGTGAACTAGGCAGTCTCTGGTCAGTCACAACAGAAGATTAGAATTAGAAGTATGTAAAATAGGTTATTTACTGCCTCACCTCAAAATGACATAACTGCTCCCTGAAGATTACCAAATTTAAAACTGGTTTAGTTTTTCAGCTTGCAATACAAATTCAATATAGAAATGCCTATCTGGTGATTTGTATCTCATCAATCACCAAGGAGAGAAAATTAGCCCAGCTATTTTTTTCTCAGATGTCGGACAACTATAATTTCCACACAAAATTTTCTATTTCAACACATTTTAAGTGGAAATCTTTCTAAAATGCGTAAGAAGTTTTCACAACTCTACCAATAGAGTAAATACAACGTAATTTAAGTTGTTAATAATCTCAGGATTATCCAAGTGGGTCCTAGTCTTCCAGATTAAGACACTGCTTTGTCAAAGAGCAACATGGCCTCTCTTAAGTGAACTGCAGCAAGCCAGGCAGCTGCTAGGTAGAAAGGACTCCTATGAGTCTAGGCCAGTGGTTATCAGATACTTGGCACCAGGACCTTCAACTGACATGACTATTCTCAGAAGTTCTGGGAAAGATTCCTATTTAACTCCTCCAGAGCAAAGACTTGGCATGAGACCACAGCTACCCCAGAGTTACAGATGGGGCTGTCTCGTGATTCTGTGGGAAATTTGCTTCTTTACTTGGCACGTGCTGCACAGTATGTCATTTTCTGCCCACAGTTTGGTGAAAAGAGAACTCCTCGAAGCTCCTCTTTAAGCATGTACATGCAATGCAAAAGCTAGGCTTCTGAGTGCCAAGTATAACTGAATAAAGGACAAAGGAATAAGATCGTCTATTCTCTAAAAATACCTTGCATAATACAACCCAAAGAATGCACTCTACCTTCAAGGCTATGGCTAGTTCAAATAAACGTAGTCATCACTACCCTTGAATTAAATGGATAATAAAAGGTTATAAACATGTTGTAAAATAATTCAAACTCAGTCATAGCAATGATTTTTCTATGTTTTGGGCAAAGGGTTAATCTCTGAAGAATACCAATAGTATAAATGGTTAAAATATCTATAAGAAAGATACTAATTCAAACCCCTTAGCCTACTTGGATATAGTTTGCTAGAAGTAAGTTTTGTTGACAGATGTTGATAGAGATACTTAAGAAAACATTATGAACAAAAAGATGTATAAATGTTATAGTTCAAGTATAATTCATACACTTCCTTTCCCAAGTTTCTCCATTATACACTAGCTTCAATTTTTTTTAATAGTAGGTGTATTTTACAATACTTTGATCCTCTTCAATATTCTGGCATGACTCCCTTTTTCCTAATGAAGCCCATATTTTAGCATTCTTAAGTTTATATATTACAAATGTAAGAGTCAGGTCTCTCAGTTGCAAAATAACAGAAACCCTCCTAATTCAAAGTGGCTTAGTTCCTAAATGGGGAATTTATTGACTCATATAAACGGCCAATCCAGGGATGCAGCAGACCTCAAATATAAAAGGATTTATGGGCTCAAAGAATTTCATTACAGTTCTCTCTCTCCATCTCTCTACTCTTTCTATATTTTTTTGTCTTCATTATTTAAGGAGATATTTTCCCCTTGGCAGTCAAAAAAGGCACCAGCAGCCTCAGGTCACAAACTCCAGGAAAGAAAACCATTGGCTCTTCTTGGGTTTCATAAAGTCATACCAGATACAGAAATAAAAGCATAGTTTCCTAATGGAACTCAAAGACAAAAGAAGCATGCTGGACAGTAAAATAAAAAACCCTACGAAATTACACTGCAAATTACAAATTAACTTTTTAAGAATCTTACAGACAAACATAAGGGTTAGCTTCATCATTTTTAAATTTTAGTGAAAATATCAAATCAACAAGCAAATATTATATGACTGTGTATTATGCTCAAGGGATATAAATGTTATAAAAGCCAAAGTTTCAACCACTGAATAATCATAGTCTAGTTGGTGGTTGACAAAATTTGATGCATGACAAATGAATGAATGGAAGATGGGATTTTAACCAAGTGCTAAATATTACAGCACATATTATAACCTTAATATTAATTCAGGAAAGAAAGGATGATTGTGGAGTAGAACAATCATTGAAGGTTTATAGAGATGGTGAAAACTATTTTATTTCATGAAAGATGGATTGTCATTGTTGGAAGAGGGTGGGAAAGAGTGAGGGTTGAAGGGAAAAGAATGAAATGGCTCCGAGGTGGGCATTCTATATGTAGAGACCTGATGGTAGACAACAGCCCACTCATAATGGAGAATTCATGTTGAGGATAAGGTAAGATGGTTACAGAGAAGTTAGCTGACGGAAGATTTCAAATACTGGGTTTGAATTTGAACTAGTTATAATTTCTCGATATGTAGGTTTGCAGAAGAATAGAGAGGGAAATCCAGCTGCAGGTCATGATATAACTGGAGTTCAGAGGTTGGAATAATATTTCTGCTCTGAGACAGGGGCCGTCGCTTCCATTTATGCAGGTTGTAATCTGTACAACGCTAGTGGGCACCAACCACGTTGCAGTGTGAACGGTGCTTCTGAAAGTTGGGAAATACACTACCCTTATAAAAATATACGGTCCTTCTAGATGACTTCAAGAAACAAAACATATCAATTTGAAGGGGGTAGAAGATAGGTAGGTACTAGGTAGCAGTTAGAGAGAAGGTTGAAGAGAAAAGTGGAGACCAGATTATGGAGTGCCTTGAATTCCAGGCTAAGAAATACAGACTTTATTCTGCGTTTAATGCAGGGAAATTGGGGAGCGATTGCAGGATTTTGACTAGAATAGTGAAGTAGCAATCAGTGTTTGAGGAAAATTAAATTTAGGCTACAGGTCCAGGATTGATTCAAGGGGGCAGAAATTAGCAAAATAGAGAACTATGAAAAGATCATTAGAGCAGTGCAGGAAAAAACTGGACCATAAGATAGAAAGCAAAGGAGATCTTTGGGAGGTATTTTAAAAAGAAAAAAAGATAAAAAGAAAGAAAGGCAAGAAAGTGGAATTTTGTGAACCTCTTACAAAAGAAACATATGTCCTGGGACATATTATTATTATTTAGGTAGAGAATAAAGAACAGAAATTACGTTTCTTTCAAATCGCTCCCAGTGACTTTACTGTTGGCAGTTATATAATTCTTTAGAGTTTACACAGTAATTTCAAATATATTATTCCATTTGGATAAAGATATTTTTTGAAATCATGAAACTAAGCACTGTCCTAAGCTTATATATAAAGGTAACATCTAAACTACAGAAATTTTTATCCATCACCTATGATAGAATGCAATTTAATATTGCAATGACAAACTTCCATGTGTTTATTTGGACCAGAAAAGAATGGGCAGTAATACCAGCATGTCTGAAACCAAACTTTCCATGTACTCTGGATCTTATTTCTTTCTGATCTCATTCTTCTTCAGGGACCTTGTTCCCTGTCTTTCCTCTTCCCATCCCTGATCTTCCCTTCAGCATTTTAGAAAAATATTCTTTAACCTATTTCTATTCTGAGTCATCTCTTCACTTTCCATCAATCTACACTGCTGACAGCGTAAGTGTATGTTTCATGTCTCTACCTCCTCTGCATTGGCAATTCTCAATCCATCCCACCTCTGTAAGGTTTTCTCCCTGGAGATAACACAAATCTCCTATTTGCTATTTTTGTTGGACGTTTTTCAGTATTTACCATATTTGACCTCTTGGCAGTGGATGATAGTTTTCCTCTTCTTCATTCTTGAAACTCCTGCCTTGGGTTCCTGGTCTCATTCTGTTATCTTGCCTCTGTGACTTTGACTTTCTCCTGTCCTTTCATATTTATAATCCTCCAGGGTTCCATCCTTCACCCTCTACCCTTTCTTTTTATACACACTTTCTCTGGGGAATTTCATCCTCTCCTTCTAAAGCTTATATACTGACCACTGTCAATTCTGTATCTCCAATCCAAATCCAAAGCAGTATATTTACAATTGGATGCCCCATATATGCTCCACAAAACATGTCCAGCACTAAACTTCTCACCGGTACCTCAAGTCTGTCCTTCTTTCCATACTCTCTTCAGAAATTATGGACCCACTGTTCACACAAGGATCTAAGGTAGAACACAGAGAACTGTCTTTGATTCCTTTCTTCTTCATCCTCCATGTGATGGTTAATTATATGTGTTAACAAAATTGGACCACAGGGTGCACAGATTTTGATTAAATATTATTTCTGGGTGTGTCTGTGAGGGTGTTTCTGGATGACGTTAAAATTTAAATTGGTAGTCTGAATAAAGCAGATTGAGCAAAACTACTTTCTATGGGGCTGCATGTTTGCCATCCTTCCTGAAATTATATTGATTTTTCATAGGAATTCTTCCTAATGACACTCTTGCACACAAATCCTTTTTTCAAGGTCCCTTTCTGAGGATTCCAAGTTAGAACAACAAGTTTTAATGGCTGGTTAATATTTTTATATACCATTTATACCAGAATTTAACTATTTCCCAATAGTTCAGTGTTTAGATTGTTTCTATTTTTCTCTACAATAACTAGCTTTGTAATGATTATCTTTGTATGCAAAAATGTTCTCATGTGTTCTAGATTGCTTTCCATGGATATATTCCTAGAAGGGAAATTACTAAATCAAAAGGCGTGAAGCCATATTTTACAGTGCTTGATCGATCTGTATTGCTGTCAAAAATATTTTTACCACAATACGCCAATCTTAATGTAAACATTTTTAAAAACTTATTTTATTAGTTATGAGATTATTAGCATTGTTTTCATTTCTTTGATCGCTGAGATTAAATATTTTCTTACATATTTACTGGTTGTTTACCTTCTGTTTATAAACTTTGCAATTTTAAATTATCCTAGTGTTTTTTAACAATATTCATATAATTATATAACTTAAAGTTGTTAAATCTATGTCATTTATGCAATCTATTTAATCTATGCAAATATTCTGTTTGCTTTTAAGTTTTTAAAAATTGTTTAAAATACAACAGTTTTGATTTTTGAGTAATCCAACCTATTTGTTTTCCTTTGTGATTTCTTCTAATGCTTCCCTACTCAGAAAGTTGTCCTGCAATTAAAATCAGATAAATTTTATCTTACATTTTTTTCTCGAAATTTTTCTCTCTTTCCTATGTCTCTCTTTAACATTTATCTTGTGCATCCCTCTGTTATTTACTTTGACACATGGCAGAGATCGAAAATAGATTCCATCTTGTGTGCCAAGTTTATTCACTCACTCAATAAAAATATATTCAATGTTTACTATGTACCAGGCACAGTGTTAGGCATCATTGTTAGAGGCAAATGTTGAGAGGGATACTGAAGTCACATTTGAAGTCACTCAGTGGGAGAGTGCACTTAACTGATTGCCAACGGGAGAGAGAAGAGGGAGGGGAAATGTGTGGCCCCATAGCCTAGTGCCAGGGATTTTGCCCTCTTTTTGCATGTTGTGCTATCAACTCACTCCTTGTAGAGAAACAGATCTTATGATCAGGGGATATGCTCAATAATGTTAAAAACTGCAAATGAGTCAAAAGCATAATTATCCTGAAAAGAATAAATAGGTTTTCAGGAGTAAGTAAAAATATCTGCTCCCCCCCACCCCACTGCTTCATTTAATCACTCAAAAGTAGTAAGATATAACAAATTACCTTTTCTATAAGTATTTTAACATGGTTATAATCATATTGTTTGTACAATTTTATATTCTACCTTTTCCATTTAACATTATAAAATATTTGCATATGCCATAAGCTTCTTAGTAAACATAATATCTGATAGTGATACCTAACAGGTTTCAATGGACAAATTACTCTTTTCAAAGCAGAGTTAGTTTCTTTTCTTAAATAAGTAGACATTTTTACAGGTTCTCTATTTGAGATATTATCAGAAAACCATGCCCATTTTTTCAGGTGTACACATTTAATCCAAGTGGATTAATATAAGCACACACTACCTTACGTCCTCAAGCAAATTTCTTTTTCTATTAGCCAGGCAGTGTTTTCAATTTTCTTCTTTTTGGTAACTCTGAAGACCATTCATTCCATAATTTATTGAGCCTCTAAAATGCAAAATGATCTATAATAGGGCACTGCCTTAAGAAATCATGTTCCATATATTCTAATATATTTAAATGTAGCCCTTTACATTCTTAACCTACTCCTCTCTACTAGCTCCTTTCTAAAATTTTTAAGTGTATGGTAATCCAAAAACAAAACCCCAAACTCCAAAACCAAACTTCTTCTCAACCTAGTTTCTTCCTCAAACTCCAACCAATCTATCTTCCTTCTCACCCAAACATAACCAAAGCAGAGTCCACTCTTACTACTTCTCTCCCCTTAATTATCTATCACCCATTTATTCCCCAAGTACTGCAATCTTCCACCTCACCCCTAATCAGTTAACTTTACTTGACCTCTCTGTAACTCAATCAGAAAGACTCCCCTCTCTCTTCAAAGTACTCTCTTCCCAACACCTTTGCTTTCACTGTTACTTATCTCACATAACCTTGTTCTTAATCACCAATTCCTCCTTTTATCTCACTAGCCTTTGAATGTACAGTAGAAGCCCTTAACTCCAGGTAACTAATTCACAGGATTAGAGGAGGCTCTTCCCCTCTCTGTAAATGGGTTCCTTCCCCACCACACTTCAGGGCTGAAGGCTCCTGGCACAAAAATGAACCTCCAATCCATCTGTGTATACTTACTGACCTATATGCTCAGTCAGTAGAGACAAATAGTTTATTCTAAAAACTGTTAATGCAATTACACTTGCTGTTTTTATTATGTAATTTAATCAAATGGTATATAAACTAATGAGATATGAGAGTAAAAAAAGAGTTGTTTCTATGAAAATTAATGAGTGGTTTAGAAAAGCTTCATAATGGTTGGTAGCTTAAAGAAAAATTGCAGTCAAATTAGGTGAAAAACAAGGCCAAGAAAAATATTTTTCAACTCTAGACATATTTTACATTGAGTGACCTTACCATGCACATGTCTTTAAGTTCTCTCACCACTCAACAAAGCTAAAACTGGAATCTGAATGATGCTCTATGGCTTAACAGACGAAGGTGAGCTCCAACCAACAATAGATCCACATACAAAGCAAAAACCTTGACCCTGCATCAAGAGAGAATTAAAGGAAAGTAGATTTATGTGTTTTAAGATGTTTATGCATCACTTATTTTTCCCAGCTGTAACTGACTCTACTGATTAACCTGTCCCAGTTGCCTTGTCTAAGAGGCATTTGTTAGAAATATCTTGATTACATCATGAGGCCTCTTCTTTCCTTGCTTTGCTGTCTCCTTGAGAAATTTAATTTCCAACCAGAGCTTCAGCTGAGCCTTTAAACAAATAACCACCACATCTGCAAGCTCTTCACAGAAGGGTCCAAGATTCATTCATCATCACCTTCTGCTGCCCTCACTGCATTGTGTCTTGCACACAGTAACTACTTCAAAACTTATTGAGATTTAAAGCATAATGAAAATGTTAGTCCATAAGTTACAACCCAAGAATTAGAAATCTGGTTGAATTTGGTGTATTACAAGAAAACTCCTCTATTTTGAAGTCATAATTTACCCCCTCTCAACAATTAAAGGAAAGAAACTCAATCGATAATTATAATCGGAAAACTATCAGTTTTAATTGGGTAGCTGAAGCTAATTTTAAAAATCAACTATAGTTTTCCAGCAATGTACAAACAAATTTGGTAGACAATGACAAGTACCACTACAGCTTTCAATTTTATCTAAATGAAGGCTAAAGTTTTGCTAATCTCTTGAATCCTGTGGGTTTATTCTCTCTGAAGCAATTTCCTCTAAGCTAGATAGGACAGATATGATTATCTCTTCCATTTGACAAATGAGAGAATTAATGGTTCCTGACTTACCCTTGACCTTATAGATAGTTTGTGACTTAAATGGGATTTGTACCCAGGCATTAGGCATCTTGAGTCACCTTTAATTTTTCCTAAGCTCCTTCATAATTGGGCAGGAGAATCAGGAAGTAAATAGTGAAAAGCCAAACTCTTCTATCCACAATTATCACTCCTCTTTTTACCAGGTTGTCTAGGATTATGCCTTTAGAGTTCAGTCCTTTAACACATTTTCCCACAAAATTCTTGGGAGGAATAATAAGTTAATAATTCATTCTTTAACATCTTTCTATTAATTAATATATCCAATTTGCTGTCCTTTGATTAAGTAATTACCTGAGGAAAAGGAAAGGAAAGTAATGGGCATTTTGAGAAAGAATTTGTTACTTTTTTTTTGCATTTTTAAAAATTGAGGTTTCTTGTCCCATTTCTTTTCAAACCCTCATCCTGATCTCCTGTTGAAGATGGCGCCATCTTTGGCTTCCAGGCATCATTCTCCATCTAAGATCGACAATGTGCTTACTAAAAAGAAAACTAATGTTAATTGAAACTGTTTTTTGTTTCATTTTTTTTCTTGCTATTTACATTTTGCCTATACCTGTTTGTGACTATCGTTCTGTCCCTAGTCCATGAATGTTTTTCTCATGCTTTCAACAGGGAACTCTCATCATCATAATACAATTCCTAGTCACATATCGCCTTTTTTCTGGCATTCCTTTAATCCAACACTTCCCCATCTCATAAGCCTAAATTTACTTATCACTTGTGCTAGAATAACAAATACATCACACAAGCCAAAACTTAATTAGCATATTTTCTGAAATTATGTGATGTTGAATGAAAAATTCTGCTAACGCACATAAAAATTAGTATAACTATTCAGACTACGAAGTTGTTTATACACTTTGTCTCAGAAATAGCATTCCTGGGAATTTATCCTTAAGAAGTATAATTAGCAGATGTGAAAACAAGCAAAAAACCAAATACAGCTTTTATAAAATATTCACTGTTAATTATTTTTAAAAAAAGCTATCCAAATGTCCAAATATAGGAGACCAGCTAAGTACATGTTACATCATTGAATAGGATAGATAGGTAGACATTTAAAAGTATAATGATTAAGACTATATAGGAAACCAAAATATTATAAATGTGGTGGTAATTAAAAAGCATTATTATAAAACAATATGCTGTTTTATAATTTTAATTAAATAAAATATAACTATGCAGATCAGAAATAGATGGTAACATGCAAAAGTGGAAATAGTTGCTGTGCTAAATGAAGGAGTTGTTAGTGAAAATTTTTTTCAGAAATTATTATTGTCGCTACTTTGTTTTCTGTTTGCTTGACTTTTAGCTTTATTGATATTTTATATTAATAAACAATGTTAATTTCATGTAAAAATTTGAGGTTTAATTGACATATAATATTATATTAGGTTCACGTGTACAACATAATGATGTTATATTTATACATACTGTGAAATGATCACTGCAATAAGTCTAATTATCATCCATCACCATACAAAGTTACAAACTTTTTTTTCTTCATTTGATGAGAACGTTTAAGATTTATTCCCTTTGTGATTTTCAAATAAATAATACAATATTGACTACAGTCATCATACTGTACATTATATCCCCATGACTTATTTATTTTATAACTGCAAGTTTGTACCTCTTTATCCTGTTTACTCATTTGCCCCACCTGCCACCCACTTCTGCTCTGGCAGCTACCAATCTGTTCTCTGTATTATGAGTTTGGGTTTTTTTTCTGTTTTGTTTGTTCATTTGTTTTATTTCTTAGAGTCCATGTGTAAGTGAAATCACGTGGTATTTGTCTTTCTCTGTCTGGTTTATTTCACTTAGCCTAATACCCTCAAGGTCCATCAATGTTGTCACAAATGGCAAGTTTTCATTCTTTGTTAGGGCTTAGTAGTATTCCATTGCATATGATACCACATCTTCTTTATCCATTCATCTATCAATGCACACTTAGATTATTTCCATATCTTGGCTATTATAAATAATACTGCAATTATAGTGGGGTTACAGAGATATTTTGAGTTAATGTTTTTATTTCCTTTGGACAAATACCCATGAGTAGAATTGCTGGATCATATGGTAATTCTATTTTTAACTTTTTGAGGAACCTCCAAACTGTTTTCCATAGTGGCTGCACCAATTTATATTCAGCCAACAGTACACAAGCGTCCCTTTTCTCCACATCCTCACCAATACTTGTTATTTCTTGTCTTTTTGATAAAGCCATTGTAACAGGTGTAGGATGGTATCTTATTGTGATTTTGATGTGCATTTCCCTGATGATTAGTGATGTTCAGCATCTTTTCATGTGCCTGTTGCCCATCTGTATGTCTTCTTTGGAAAAGTGTCTGTTCTGGTCCTCTGCCCATTTTTTAATTGGATTTTCTTCTGCTCTTGATTTGTATGAGTTCCTTATATATTTTCAATATTAACCTCTTATCATATATATGATTGGCAAATACTTTCTCCCATTCCATAGGTTGCCTTTTTCTTTTGTTGATGGTGTCCTTTACTGGGCAGAAACTTTTTAGTTTGATGTAGTTCCACTTGTTTATTTTTGCTTATGTTGCCTTTGCTTTTGGAGTCATACCCAAAAAATCACCACCAAGACCAATGTCACTTATGTTTTCTTCTAGAAGGTTTATGGTTTCAGGTCTTACATTCGAATCTTTAATCCATTTTGACCTAATTCCTGTATATGGTGTAAGATAGTGATCTAGTTTCATACTTTTGTGTGTTGCTGTCCAATTTTCCCAACACCATTACTTAAGAAACTGTTTTTCCCCACTGTGTATCCTTAGTCCTTTGTCACAAATTAATTTATCATATATGCATGGGTTTATGTCTGAGGTCTCTATTCTGTTCCATTGATCTATGTATCTGTTTATATGCCAATACCATACTGCTTTGATTACTATAGCTTTGAACTAGTTTGAAATCAGGGAGCATGGTGCCTCCAGCTTTGTTCTTGTTTCTCAAGATTGCTTTGGCTATCTCGGATCTTTTGTAGTCCATACAAATTTTACAATTGCTCTATTTCTGTAAAAAGTGCCATGGGGGCTTCCCTGGTGGCGCAGTGGTTGAGAGTCTGCCTGCCAATGCAGGGGACACGGGTTCGTGCCCTGGTCCGGGAAGATCCCACATGCCGCAGAGCAGATGGGCCTGTGAGCCATGGCCACTGAGCCTGCGAGTCCAGAGCCTGTGCTCCGCAACAGGAGAGGCCACAACAGTGAGAGGCCCGTGTACCGCAAAAAAAAAAAAAAAAAAAAAAAGTGCCATGGAATTTTGATAGAGATTGCAATGAATCTGTAGATAGCTTTGGGTAATACGGACATTTTAACAATGCTAAATGTTAACATCGTTAACATTTTTATCTTTTATCTTTATTTTTATCTATTCTTATCTTTTTGGTTAACTTTATTTGTAGGTATTCAGTGCAATCGTAAATGGTACTATTTTCTTAATTTCTCTTTCTGATAACTCATTTTAGAGTATAGAAATGCAACCAATATTTGTATACTGATTTTGTTCTCTATAACTTAGCTGGATTTGCTTATTAGTTCTCACAGTTTTTTTGGTAGAGTCTTCAGGGTTTTCTACATATAAAATCATGTCATCCACAAATAGTGACAGTTTTACCTCTTCCTTTCCAGTATGGATGCCTTTTATTTCCTTTTCTAACCTAATTGCTGTGACTAGGACTTCCAATATTATGTTGAATAAAAGTGGCAAGAGTGGGCACACTTCTCTTGTTCTGGATTTTAGAGCTGAAAGCTTTTCACCTTTCAGTATGATGTTAGCTGTGGGCTTGCCATGTGTATGTTTAGGAACGTTCCCTCTATACCTACTTTATTGAGACTGATTTTTTTAACCATAAATGGGTTTTGAATTTTGTCAAATGCTTTTTCTGCATCTATTGAGATGATCATACGATTTTTATCCTCCATTTTGTATCATGTTGATTGATTTGCAGATGTTGAATCATCCTTGCATCCCTGGAATAAATCCCACTTGATCATGATGTGTGATCCTTTTTATGTATTGTTGAATTCAGTTTGCTAGTATTTTGTTGAAGATGTTTACATCTATGTTCATCAGGCATATTGGCCTATAATTTTCTTCCTTTGTGGTGTCCTTGTCCATTTTAGATATCAGAGTAATGCTGGCCTTGTAAAATGAGTTTGGAAACATTCCCTCC